CCTTCCTGGTGAATGCTAAGAACTGAATTTTCAAATTCTTTATAGAACTTTGTTTACTAAAGTTCAACATTTGAAATGTAACATGTCTGATAATAACGCATGTCCGGTGTGTAAACAATCTAGAGAAGATTTAGAAGATATGTTTATTAACTGTGTCAATCTGTCGTACTTCACTGATTTTCGGAAAGATTTTTTGATAAATTGTATGTGCAATGTTGAAAAACTTTTGTAAACACGCTCGATTTTGACAAAACAATGCTGATTGGTTTTTTTTTTTGAAGAAAAGAAAAGGTTTTATTTTTATTTCTCAAATTTTATTATGAATGTACCAAGATTTAGTATCTACGAAAGAAGAAATATCGTATTTTTAGATCCTCAAGGTAAACTCATTTTAGTAGAATATTTTAAAACATTGTTAGATAAATACATCTCTCACTTTTTTATCTTTTAAATCTGAGAAAAGAACATTTACTATTGGAAAAACATTTTATACTAGACAATCCCGTTATTAAAGTAACAGATAATCATGCAGAGATATTGTATTAATTCTAAACTATACATGTACTTACAAAATTATCACATTTAAACTTTTGTAGAATTGCTTTTGGTATTGTTTTAATTGACTAAATGTAACTGTTTGTTTGTGACATCAGGTACTGTCTGGTGAATTTTTATTGTAAATATTTGAATATAATTTTATCATGAGAAAAAGTAGTTAATCTACTGTTTTACTAGCCTGCCAACACGGCTGTAAGTTCGAACCCCGCACGTGGCCTCAAAACAGTTAATAGTGCTGAAAGTGACGCTTAACATCTTAATTTGTTTGTTACCTCTTTTAGTTATCTATCAACCAATCACGCAAATTAATGAAGTAGCGTAACCAATGCCATTTGTATTTGTCCAATATGCTCTTCTTGAATTTGTATATAGAAACTTTTTTTCCGTTTTTTTTTCTGTTTTTATAAATCGCATTAATTGTAGAATCTGCAACCCGTATTTGACTCTTTAACAGTCTCGCAGAAGCGCAAATACATATAATGAAATTTTCAAATTCAGCAAGGATATGACAATAATCATCCACTTATACAAACAGAAACGCATTAAAACGTATCGAAATGAAACAATAAAAAAACAAAGGCAAACAAAAATTTCGACCAGCAACGCACCATAACAGACGTTTTTCTGTGAAATTAGTCCAAGACTAACAAAATGGAATCTATTTTATATGGAATAAGCAATTAAACTTGATAGTTATTGTACTAGTTCAATATTCCTTCTAACATTATAAATTATCTAATCATCCCATGTATTTGAACGGCTTACAATGCGAATTTTGAAAATGAGCATCTAAATAATCCGGTTAACATGCTCGTCATTTCGCGGGTGTCTTCTACCATGTCTACAATTTTTTAAATTGTTAACAATATATTTCATTTATGATTGGTTTAATAAAGTATTCGTATTCGAATTCGTATACACTTCTACATATGTGTGTGTGTGTGTGTGTGTGTTGCGTTCGACTTCTTAACCGTATGCATGAAATATGTGCTGCGTATGCATATGCAGTGTGTGATCCGTGTACGAATGACTTGGAATTTTATCTATTCAGGGAATGCACCTCTCTCTCCAACGAAGTCAGATTGCCTACATATCAAGGTGGTTCTCTCTTAAGTTTCGTAATACAACTTTTGTAAAGCTCACGTATGCATATAAGGTCCATTTGGTGATTAAGTACGTGTCATTTCATAAAAATAAATGTCTGTGATTTATTAGCTTCGTTCTATGCTGGGTCCGGATTTCATTCCTTTAAGAACAGAAACAGCATATTTCGTTTTAGCAAAGATTGAAATCAGGTCCTTAATTGAATAAAAATTCGTAAGGGTTCCGAGGAACCCAGTGTCTCGCCTACTTTTGCTGTTGTCTATGTTTTCAGTGTGATAGGGGAATGCACATAATAGATTTACAGTTAATGAAATAAAATGTTTGAAATGTATGAAAAAGTTATGCTTGTAAAAAATGAATACAGTATGCAATCAAATCTATAGATTGTCTGGAAGACAAAAGTCGCAGGCTGAACAAAAATCGGGAAAAAATTATTAAAAATTATCCTCTAGATACTATCTTTTGATTATAAGAAGCTTCTGTCCAAGTTTGGTAAAAATCCAGGATGGTTTATGAATCTAATAAATGTTTTAAAAACTTTAACTGCAGACTGTATGTAATGTTAACTGGAAGAAAAACTAAGTCTATTTATAAGTAATATACGGAAAAACAGGAAATAAATTTTTACAAAATTTCCTTCTAGATACTAGCTTTTGATCATAAACAAGCTTCTGTCCAAGTTTGGTACAAATCCAGGATAGTTTAAGAAAGTTATTAAAATTTTAAAAACTTTAACCACAGAGTGAATGTAATGTTAACTGGCAGAAAAACTAAGTCCATTTATAAGTAAAATACGGATAAGCAGGATTTTTTTTTACAAAATTTACTTCTGGATACTATCTTATGATCATAAACAAGCTTCTGTCCAAGTTTGGTAGAAATCCAGGATAGTTTAAGAAAGTTATTAAAATTTCAAAAACTTTAACCACAGAGTGAATATTTGTGGACGCCGCCGACGACGACGACGCAATGTAGAATCGCTATGTCTCGCTTTTGCGACAAGAGTCGCAGGCTCGACAAAAACCACTCATATCTTCCTTTCTTTAAAATATTTTCCAAGTCCCCTATTTCAGAGAAAGAGAGAGTTAAATTAGCAAACAAACGAGTACTGCCCATAAAAATAACATCATATTTGTTTTTGAGAATAGTCGAGATTAGATTTATAATACAAAAATTACTTAGATTCACACAAAGAGATTAGTAATAAAATTTCATTTTCTCCCCATATTACTGACTTTAGCCAATTTGAATAAAAATATACGAAAATTTGTGTTTTCATGTAGATATAGAATATGACAACAGAGTCATATTGTCTGGTAACTATTTTCTGATTTGTTGGTTTTTTTATGCCCATCAGAACAATGAGGAGTGAATTTTCCGTATTTAGAATAAATGCTTAAAAGAATAAAAGATTTGGTATTTGATTTGGAAACCAAGTATTATAGAGCTAAAAGTCAAAAAAGAAAATACCAGGCAAATGAACATAATATAGCAAAGAAAAATGCTAACTCACAATTTTTTCAAAAAATCAGGGCCTAAGTAGATTACACTTTTACTGATCAGTAACAGTTACTTTTGATTCAAACTATTTAAAAGATAAAGAATGAATATTTTCAGTTTATAAAATGCAGATCTTTACAAAGATAACATTTTTTTTATGCAATAAACAAGTTGATGTATGTTATGTAAATGCAAGTACAAGAATGCATGTATCTGCGTGTATACAGATGTGTGATTGTTCTTTTCCAATTATTGTCATAATGTTGATATGCATATACTATATATGTTTACAATAATAAAATAATGTAGTCAATTATTCAATATTTGTTTTATTCATCAAAACGCTTATCACCCTAGTCAGACGGTGATGTAAAGGGATTATAAAAGCCTGAATACTGAAAAAAAGACACAAAAAATTGGTATTATTGCCAGTGAGACAACTATCTATCAGACACAAACTGACGTAGAAGTTAACAACGATGGGTCACCGTTTGACATTTGATTATTAACAAAACCTATACCACATACCAAGTTGTAAAAGGCCGCGAAATGATTCAAACGGGGTTTAATAAAGTATTCGTATTCATATAACGCCTGATCTATGTACAAAACAATAGACGAAAAACAAATATGATATACAGCAACAAACGACAACCACTTAAATACAGGCTCAAGAATTGGGACAGGCACATACAGAATGTAGCGGGGTTAAACATGTTTGCTGGTGTCAAACCTTCCCCTAACCTGGGAAAGTGGTGTAACAGTACAACTTAAGAACAAACTATAAATTCAAATGAAAAAGGGCTTAACTCTTCAGGTCGATACAAAGCGCAAAAAGACACAAAGTACAGGTCTGAGAGTACTCGTAGTTGCTGAAAGCTAGTTTAAAGCCAATAACAACTTATAAAAAATAAAATATCAATCAGTACACATCCAACATCCAATGGTTTTAGCGTAAAGCCGTCATTAACAGTCGGAGAAAAACATGACCTTGTGCAATGCCAAATTATAGGCATCGACAGATTGTAGGACCGTGAATGTAGATTTGTTTATAACATTAATATTCAGTTTTGTTTTAATTTATTGATAAAAAAACTCAATACTTATACCGATCAAACAATATTGAAAGATCTAATTACAGTGCTGAATTGGTAACCTTTTAGAATAAGTTTATCTAAAGGATCGATAAGTTTACCCGGATCGTATCTAAATTTACGGGCTCGGTAAACAATATCATCGTAAAAATTAGGATGTGCTAAACACCGTATGATTGAGCCAAAGAAACACCACCGTCAAAGAAAGGAACATTAACAAGAGGGAATGGAAAATTGTCCCTTTTGTCATAAATTTATGTACAGAGTTTCCCGTGTGAAACTGAATAAATAATTCTTAGAAAGGGCAATTATTCTTTTTTATATTAAACTTATTAAATAAGTTACCTTGGGTAAATTTCCGTAGTACATGTATATATAGAGAATTCTTGGTGAGAATCTATCGAAAAGATATTATCAAGGTAACGATAACTGTTATTTAAATTTCTGTACGCCATCTAAGGTCAAAACCAATCCAGTCCACAGGCAGTGACTTTTGACTTTTCAAAACCTTTTTAAAAATTTGTCTTATTTTTTATGTTCTCGATAGAATGACACTTATATTAACGAAATCAAAATATGTCATTTTAACACTCTCGTTTTATGATTAAAAGATGCATCATGATCACTGTGGTAGCCGAAAAAACTATAAAAATTAAACATTATTTGCAATATATTTTTGCGTTTGTTGTATGTTTTCACTATTCCAGAAGGGTTTTTCACAATTCGAGTAAAATTCATAAATACCTTGAAGCTCGATAGTTCCTAATGCTCGGCCGAAATAATTTTCTATTAAACATGTGTAATTTCCAGAATCTGTTGTCTTTGCATCCTTTATTTTCAGGTTAAATTCTCCATAACCAAGCATAATACCAGGAATGCTTCGAAAGGAAGCTAAATACTTGGCACTGCAATATAAAACCTGTTTACTTATAATGACTGAATTTCATACCGTACACCGAATATAGTTATATATATAGAGTCTTGCTTATAGTATCTGAGAAACAGGCCTAATTACGAAAATGGAACATAGAAAAGCCAATAAACCATAAAAATGAGGTCAAGTTCATACAAACTCTGCTAGACAAAATGAGCACCATACAATAATCCCATACACAGCATACATTTGACCTATTGCTTATAGTATCCGAGAAACGGAAATAGCCAGGCAAATTTAACATTACTAATGAACAATGAAAATGAGGTCAAGGTCAGATGAACCCTGCCAGACAGACATGTTCACCTAACAATCATTCCATTACCAATTAAAGTTGACCTATTGCTTATAGTTTTTGATAAACATAAACTATGAAAACTTAAAATGTACCAATGAACCATAAACATGAGGTAAAGGTAATGTGAACCCTGCCAGACAGACATGTACACCTTACAATCATTCCAGACACCAAATATTGTGGCCATATTGCTTATAGTATCTTATAAATAGACCAAACTGATTTAACTTAACATTGACCAATGAACCATGGAAATGAGGCCAAGGTCAGATGAAACCTACCAGTCTGACATGTACACCTTACAATCATTCAACAAACCAAATACAGTTGACCTATTACTTATAGTATCTGAGATATGGACTTGACCACAAAAACTTATCCTTGATCACTTATCCATTCAGGTAAGCCCTGTCTGCCGGACATGTAGACTCTGCAAGGATCCCATATACCAAATATAGTTATTCTATTACTCAAAATAAGTGAGTATTTCACCTTACAAAACTTCTTTAAATCTTTTTCAAGCAGTCACTGAACCATTAAAATGAGGTCAAGGACAAAGGACATATGACAGACGGAAACTTCGTTACATAAGGCATCTGCATACACGGTATGAAGCATCTAGGTCTTCTACCTTTTGAAATATAAAGTTTTATACAAAGAAGTTTATGTCGTCTCCGCCGTCACAGCCGGATTGTAACCCCTATGTTTTGCATTCTGCGACTTTTGTCGCAGGCGAGAGAATAACATATACTTCATTTTACTGTAGTTTTCTTTGTTGTTTTTGTGTTGTTGGGTAGTACTGTCTTTGATATTTAGCCCAAATTCCTGTTATTTATCTATACCTGTATTTCAATTATTAATTAAAAAAGAAACTTGAAATATATGGAAGTGTCGACTGTTTCACTGTGAATTTAAATTTCGTCCATCAGTTTTCCTTAGAATGTGATAATGCAAGTTAGGTAAATTATTGAAATTCTTTCTGTTCTTTATTTTGATACGACAGTTTTTATCTTCTAGGCATTCCAAATGCATTTATTTCCAATTGTATATGTATAAGCGTAATAAGACCAGTATTAAATGATGTTTGTTTGACTATGAGCATATTTTCAAAATGTATTTGTACAAGAAAATATCGATATTTTTTGCGTTGGTGTCCACTATTCCGATTTACCTTCACCATGAATACCAGAAGTATGGAAATCAAAAGCCAAATAACACATGAGTGGCCATATGAACAAAAGAATTATAAAAAAGAATCGCTAGAATTGTCTAAGGTCAACTGAACGCACTGAAGGAGTTGCAATCTTTGTACTTGAAGAAAAAAAAACATTCTCATTATCTACAAAAACAACAATACAACATGCATGTCCATAGAAAGATAGGAAAACATAATGGCCCTACGATCAAAATATTGACTGCTGACCAAAACGATGAAAAATATTAAAATTATTAAACAAAAGTATAAAATGTTCACCCTTCAAATGGCTTTTTCTTGAACGCAAAGATTAAAAATTAAATTTAGATGTAACACGTCTTCTGATTGGCTGAAAGTTCTTTGTCTAACAGCTCATAGACATAATTTTGTCATGTGACCGTGACGTCATCAACGTTTTTTCATGATTTACTCCTTAAAAATAGAATTTAGAATTAAATTATAAGGAATGACTGTAATATTTTTTCTGTCTATTCGAAATAACCTACATTTTTTTAAATAACCCGCTACGCGTGTTAGGGAACAACCATTTAACTTCAAAGGGGGGGGGGGGGGGGGGTTATGGTTTTTACCAAAAAAAATATTCTGATCCCCAATTTGATGAAAAAAAAATATTGTGGTCAAGCAGATGACAAAAAAAAATATTATGAATCCAGATTTTCCCCATACCTTATAGTGTTAAATTTTCTTACTCAGTCAAAAAACCGTAACCCCACTCGATTCTCCCCCTTTTGATTTCAATCAATGGAATAACACAAAGTACCCGAAGTACTACAATAAAAATCAATAAATAGTACAAGAAAAACAACAATAAACAAAACAGTACAAAAGTCATGTGTTATTTTCAATGTAAATCTGAATATAGTACTAGTAGTTCAACAAAGACAAAAACAAAAATTACATTGTGTATCGTTTCATACTGTAACAATAGTGCACACGCTGACATGCCTCACCTGCTTAACTGACCATGATTAATCTAAAGTCTTAAAGATAAAGGTTTTACTACAAGTATCGCATAAACTTAACATTATCAATGATCCATGACAATAAGGTCAAGGTAAGATAATCCCTGCCCGACAGAGAAGTACACCTTTGAATCATCTCATACACCAAATATAGTTGACCTTTTGCTTAAAGTATAAAGAAACAGACCAAATCGAAAAACTTAGCGTTGGCTAATGAACCATGCCAATAATGTCAATGTCAAATGAAAGACATGTTCAGCGTACAATCATTCCGTGCACCAAATGAAGTTAACCTATTGCTTATAGAATATAAGAAACAGACTTAACCAGAAAAACTAAACACTGACAAACGAACCATGAAAATGTGGTCAAGGTCAATTGAACTCTGCCAGACAGACATGTACACCTTACAATCATTTCATGCACCACATATAGTTCACCTACTGCTTATAATATCTGAGAAACGGACCTAATCACGTAACTCTTTACGACCTTTCATTTGATATGCGACAAGCATACCTTCTTAAACGTTTCACTGTTCGCACTTTATAACCCTATCCACCTAAATTGTCGAGATCGGAAGTATGATATTTGTAATGTAAACTTGATGATCATTCATTTGATATGCAATAACACCATTTTCTAGAAAGTTTGATTTTTTTTTTGCACTTAATAATCCCATCCAACTCATATTTGGGGAACAGGAATTTGATATTTGAAATATACACATTATGACCTTTCATTTGATATGCAACAACCTTACCTTCTAAGACAATTTTTTTTTTGCACCTAACCCATTTTATTTGGGGGGATGACAGAAATTTTATATTTGAAATGTACTCTTTATTAAATTTCATATGATATGCGACAACCTTTCTATCTTTAAAGTTTTAATTTTTGCACTTAATGACCCCACCCTTCTCTTTTGGATGGATAAGAGGGTTTTAAATTTTCATTTTGGAATAGAGCTCATTTGGATGTTCAATTTCATATGTCACATGACCCCATTTGGCAAAGTCCAAAACATGATGCAATATCAATTTTATAAATAGAACTTATGAAACTTACAAAGTCAATGTAAAATATCAACATTTCAAACTGCTTATTTTTCTTTGTTTTTCATCATATGTTTTTGGTATTTCATCAAACAAATAACCATGTTAAAGTCTTCAATTGCTGAAAGTTCCAGGTGGCTAGCTGTTGTTGATTCAGAGATATATGCCCCCGCTCACAAAGTTTTAAACTGCAATATCTCTAAAACGACAACAGATATCTCAAATCTGCTGAGTGTAAGATGAAGTACAACACTATCACAGAAAAATTGGGGCAATTCCATAGCTCATTAAGGTCACAATGAATATTTAAATATGTGATGCAATACCGAACTTGAGAACCGGAAGTCGTAGAAACATGGGACTACCACCATTCAACTCCGGACCACTTGACCTTTCAAAAGGTCACAAGGTCAAGGTTAGAGTACCCTTTGAAGGTCAAGGTGAAATTTCCTCATGACCTTGACATTGACCTCAAATTGAAGGTCTTGAAATACTGACCATTTTTGTTTTTGCAGTTTATAGTAGGTTGATAGATGTTACCGTTTCAAAGATATACACAAAAACTATACTTTAAAGAACCATCTCGTCGTAACTTTTGAACGGATGGTGGGACAGTTTCGGGTCTGAGTATAAATCGTAGAGCTCTTCGAGGGGAACATTTTATACGTTGTGTGTGTGCAGCTATCTCTTGTCGTTTTCTTAATATAAAAGCTTGAAATTTAAGTGTAAAGACTTTTGCACTCTATGACCTTTGACCTTGGGTGCAAATGAAAGGTCGCATGAGCTGAAGATTATTGGTGAAGGTCCCATGTCTCTTCGACTTCCGGTTCTCGAAATATAATTTTTCAAAACTTGTGTATAATATTTCAAGGGAAATAACTCTTATAAGGGTTGATAACAAAATAATTGTTTATATTTATTAACATTGCCATCTTTTCCTATACTTGTTGCCATTTTCAAATCGATTCTATCTGTAACAATTTTTAAGATATATGCAAATAAAAGACATTTTTCAAGGGGATATAACTCTAAAAAGGGATGATGAAATCCTACGCAGCCTCATCTGGTAACACTTCATGATGAGATCTACCTATTGTCCACATAAGGTCATGATATCTTTAAAAACAACCAGGGGGAGCCATGTCGAAAAAAAAAACAATAAAAGGGAGATAACTTCTAAAAGGGATGATGAAATCCTAAGCAGCCTACTCTGGTAATACTTCATGGTGAGGTCTATTGATGGTCCAATTTGGTCATGATAACTTCAATAGAAACGGGGGGACGCCATATCAAAACTAGAGGCTCCAAAGAGCCTGTGTCGCTCACCTAGGTCTATGTGCATATTCAACTAAGGACACTCTCCAATATTGTAGACGAGAATAGAATTCATGACAAAATCTCTTTTTTGTTGATCTTGTATTGCTGATCCTTTTGTCTGTTAAGTTTCTCTCTATCTTCTTTAGTTTTTGCTCAAAACACAAAAGAGGGTAAAAAAAATCCTCATTCAAGGGCAATCACTCCTATAAAGAGTGACAGTCTACTAACTATATCGGTAAAATTTGACTTGTTTGTAGATCTCGCCTTGCTGATCATTTTTGTTATTTAAAGTTTCTATATATCTATAAGAATTTTTATCATATAAGGCAAAACGCAAAAACACTGGTGAAAATCGTCATTAAAGGGCAATAACTCCAATAAGGAGTTGTCGGACGATTTCCTCCATATTCCTTAATTGAAGATCATGTCTTGCTGATCATTTTTCTTATCTAAGTTTCTATCTTTCTATTATAATTTTTAAGATATAAGGCAAAAACGCAAACAATTGGTTAAAATCGTCATCAAAGGGCAATAACTCTTATAAGGAGACGACGGACGATTTCCTTAATATTGTCTTAATTGAAGATCTTGTCTTGCTGATCATTTTTGCTTATTTAAGTTTCTATCTATCTATTATAATTTTTAAGATATAAGGCAAAAACGCAAAAAATTGGTTAAAATCGTCATCAAAGGGCAATAACTATAATAAGGAGTCGACTGGCGATTTCGACAATGCCAGACTTATTTGTAGATCTTTTCTTGCTGATTATTATTGCTATTTAAAGTTTCTCTGTATCTATTATAGTTTTCAAGATAATAGGCAAAAATGAAAACAAATGGTAAAATTTGTCATTTAAGGGCAATAACTCCTATAAGAAGTCCCCTGACAGTTTTGACATACACGGACAATTGGTAGAGCTCATCATTCTGAACATTTGTGACCATGTAAGCTTTTCTCTATTTATAACGGTTTTCAAAATAATAGACAAAACTTGCATTTTACCCCTATGTTCTATTTTTAGCCATGTCGGCCATCTTGGTTGGCAGGCACCCCGCCTGCCAACCAAGATGGCCAAGGTTACATGACATCGGACACATTTTTCAAATTAGATACCCTCAGGATTGTTGTGGCCAAGTTTTATTAAATTTGGTCCAGTAGTTTCAGGGGAGAAGATTTTTGTAAAAGTTAACGGACGACAGCCGACGGACGCCAATTGATGAGAAAAACTTACTTGGCCCTTATGGCCAGGTGAGCTAAAAATGTTGGAAGAAAAAAAAATCAGGAAAACAATAAGGTCTTTTCTCACGTAGGGGAAAGACCTTAAAAACAGTAAGGTCTTTCCCAACGCAGGGGAAAGACCTTAAAAACTAGTATCTCAATTGTTTGTAAAACAATTGAAAGGTCTTTCCCTTAAATGTCTGATATTTGTAATGCACTCATACGACCTTTCATTTGATATGCGACAATCAAACCTTCTTAAACTTTTCATTTTTCGCACTTAATGACCCTATCCACCTCAATTTTCGAGATCGGAAGTATGATATTTGTAATGTAGAATTGATGACCATTCATTTGATATGCGACAACACCACCATCTAGTAAGTTTGAATATTTGCACTTACTGCATCTGATCCTTATAACTATCAAGAATTTACCATTACTGATTTATTTGGGAAGCTTTATGATTATATACGTGACACCCGTCCATATACTTTCTTAGATAAGTATCTTTATCATAAATGATAGCCAAATCAATTTAACCAAAAAAGCGCGACCATCTGACAACAATTATGTTCATTTTTAAGATCATTATTGATACGTATCGTAACACTAAAGAAGGTAGAATGTTTCCTGTTTTGTTGATTAACAGAAGAAGGCTTTCAATACTGTCATTCACTAATGGATGAAACTCACGTGGTTAAACATCGGTGTGGGTTCAAACTTTTACAATATCATTAAGAGTATGTATGCCCAGAGTAAATCTTGTGTTTGATTAAAGAATAGAGTGACACCCCTTTTAAACTAAAGTAAGAGCATCTGGTGCAGTAAAATTGGTACCGTTTATATTATTAAACAGGAAGGCAATCTGAGTTCTAATCTATTTAAATTTTTTATAAACTTTAAACCTTCCTGATGATCCCGAAAATTTGCCTGATCTAGTACTTGTGAATTCACGACCAGTTCATTGTTTATTAAATGCTGATGGTATTGTCATTTTCTCAACCTCAGGAAAGGAATTCAGAGTAAACTTGATTGATTAAGTACGTATTGCAAAGATTGGTGTTTGAAAATTAGCCTTAATAAAACAATTATAGTATGTTTGTATTTAATAAAACAGGCAGGCATATATCAAGCATAACTTTATTCTAATGATCAGAAATATTTATGTGTGTGTGTGGTGTTTGTGTGTGATGTACACACTATGCTTTTTTTCATATAATATGTTACCTGTGGTGGACTGTTTGTAGTTCTGTCCCATTTAGGTTCCAGTAGGAAGTATTATAAGGTTTTGGCTTCGCTAGATAATGGCAACTTAAATTGACAGTGAATCCCTCTTGAACACTGATAAACTGTTCAAACAATTTAATAATTGGTGGACCTGTAAATATAATTTTAAAAAATGGCGTAGAAAGATTTAAAACAATTTTAACCTCACAATGGGAATATTTTCCTGTTGTTGAAAATCACATTGTAACCTGTGAATGTGAAAAGTTTCACGTCCCCCTCATTCAGTCTTTCACTGACCAATCATACAACATTTCTCGTTTACATACTTATTCGAACGAAACCGTAACGTTACAGCTTGAAAGAGAAAATAGTTATTGCTCCCTTAAAAGGAGTTCACGTAGTTTATGTATCTATTAAATCAAAAGCAACTATGTTATTTTGTTTTAAGTTTTATATATTCTTTTTTCCGTTTCGCACATATCCAAACTTTACGATTCAACAGTTTGGAACCATATCAGTTATGGAGCTGCAGTATGGCGGGTGGGGGGGGGGGGGAGTATTCGTGTATTAAAGAGGCATTAGCTGTGATTTAGATAAAAATTGAAAAACGATTTTTTATTGTTTCAAACATTTATAAAAGCGGAATATTGAAATAATATTTCGCTATTAGCAGTCAGTTTGGTTCAATTTGGTCGAATAAGATCAAAAACATCGCAAATTGTTTATTGGCTAGCAATTTAATAATTCAACCTCATTTGAATCCGTATTCATGTAACCCAAACTTGACCTTTAGCTGGTGATGGGTTACGCATGCCCTAAGCGTGTTCAGTTATCATAAAGAAAAGAATGTCAACATTGAACACTGAAACAAGGGAGCCACCAGAAAAAAACACATTCCTTTGCCTGATTTGGCCTACAAGAAATCATTCATATACAGCTAGCTATATAGTAAAACGATGATTTCATTTTTTAATCTATCAAATGAAGTCTAACAGACCTAGAAAAACGTGCTTGTCCGTCTATTTATATTTTTAAAATAATAATATTTATTTACCAAAGTCATAACATCTATAGGCATACAACATATAAACTACACACAGTATACATAGATAGCAGAAGGTAGTGTGAAACATATTACATGTTAGATCTTAATGCTTGTGCACGAAATATAAATTTACCCAAATTACACATAGGTACTTAGGGACAGGACAATTTTTTTTAGCCCTCCCCCTTTTTTTCCAAAATCCGTTATTTTTTTGTTTTCTATTAATTTCAATTATTTTCGCGTTTTTCTGTATTATATGAACATAAATATACTAGAAATAACTTGTATTTGCTATTTACTATCAATTCCAAGTTTACTATCCACAGCGGTCACTGATATATTATATAGAGAGAAGGTATCTCACTTCGGAAGGGCCAAAAAAAATTGTCCTGTCCCCAAGTACCTATGAAATTACATAGTTCTCTAAGATTATTCGAACTCATTAATTGTATATATTTATACATAAAAGGTTTTCTCCAATAATAAGGTTTAATAAAGTAAGATCTATGACCTTGATAAGAGGGACATTTTAAAATGAAATGTATCTCATCCTCAATGTCATTTTTACAAAAACTACAGAGTCTATTACTTCTTGGAATAGCAGAGTAACGTCCACATTCTATAGCTAAATCATGACTACTAAGTCTTATTTTGGTAATACATGTCTTATAAATAACTGGTATTGGTTTGCATAAGTAATATTGTAAACAAAAATTTTGAACCATATATCTATAACTTGAACATTTAACTAAATTACTCAGTTGGCTGTCAAAATCTTGCTTCAGACAATCAAACAGGCGCTGTTTAATTATCAAGTAAAACGTACTGGAGAGCTTACTATCTAAAAATAAACATTGATTATACCAAATATCACCTAAACCTATACTAAGCAGCTCATTTTTAATAAAAAAAAAAACAATTTGTCTTATTATTCGGACATTTTTGTAAATCATCATATAAAAAATAGTAACAATTTTTCAAAATACAGTTTGTGGTACAGATCAGCTTAAACCAGTATTTAAAAATTCTACATTTTCTGGTGTGCAATAATGACAATCTACCTAGCTCATAATACACCATGACATTACTAGTAGAGCTTTTTACTTTCATAATATTTTTACAATAGCCCAGCTGTATCCTCTCTATAGCTGGTGCCTTATGAGCGCCCCATATTTCGCAGCCATAACAAAGTACACTGTTAATATAAGTATCAAAAAGTGAAAGTAAAGTTACAAAATTCAAATAAATATCTTTTATATTTCTCCTTAAGGCAAAAAGAGCTTTTCTACCCTGTTCTGAAAGTTTCTGCTGTAACAAATTATATTTGCCATTAAAATTTTACAATATACCACGATAACTAAACTTATCTACAACTTCTATTTCCTGGTTATTATAATATCATTTTTCATTGTCATGTATTTTTCAAAACTTTCTAAAAACAATAATTTTCGTTTTTGCTATATTAACACTAAGTGACCATTTGGAGGTATAATCATACAAAGTATCAAGTAACGTTTGTAAACCAGATACAGTTTCTGAAAAAATAACCATATCGTCAGCGTACATTAGTAAAAATAAATTTAGTTCCTTTACCTCATAAAGAATAGAGTCACTATTTATAAAAGCCATTTCACAATCGTTGACATACATTGAAAAAAATATAGGTGATAATACTTCACCTTGCATTAGACCTACTTCATTTGTAAAATACTCAGAATTAAACCCATCAACACTTACACAAGTACTGACATTAGAATACATTGCTTTGTTTCAAAATTTACCTTGAATACCAATTTTTGATAGTTTATACCATAACATATATCTTTGAACAGTGTCAAAGGCTTTCGTGTAGTCTACAAAACAACAATAAAAACGATTTTTAGCTCATAAAGAATTGAAAATTAATGACGCAAGAGCAAAAATAGCATCTACTGTACCAAGACCGGGACGAAAGCCGAACTGAGCATCGGTCATAATATCAAACTTTCCGACCAGTCTATTAAACGTTGATTTAGAACGGACATAAATAACTTTCCGAAATTACTGACTAAACTAATCCCTCTGTAGTTGTTCGGATCAAGCACAAGTGCTTGTCCGTCTATTTATATTTATACATGTACATTTTTGCATTTATGTTTATGTCGGATCGAATGACTATCGGCAGTCTGTGGGGGTAATCTTGATGGTCAATTAAATGGTGTCTAGTCTAAAATACGCACGAAAGGCTGCTACATTATAAAGATTCATGTACTGTCAATTGTTTCTTTTGGATTTTTTTGTAATTTGGATTTACGTTTAAGTAAGTTATGACTCAAATATAAGAATTTAAGTCAAATGGGTGAACATGAATTTGACAGCTAATGTGCCTTTAACACGGTACAGAAAAAAGCGATTGGCTATTCATGGGTGTTGCTTTTTATAGGTGTTGGACGATACACACCAAACATATTGACATTCGGTGGCTCAGGATGAATGTTTGTGAAACAATGGAATAGTGTAGATTTCCAGTGGTGTAGACTCAAAAACGATAGACTTATCTTCAAATTTTTAAGAAGTCAGAACTTTGAACGCACATAGATGTTTTAACTAGAATTATAGAATTATAAAATTCGTCAGCAGATATGATGGTCCTGTATAGCGCCGAAAATGTGGATAAATATAAAAATAAGAAGATGTGGTATGATTGCCAATGAGACAACTCTACATCAGAGACTAAATGATATAGAAATTTACAACTATAGGTAACCGTACGGTCTGCAACAATGAGCTAAACCCATACCGTATAGTCAGCTATAAAAGACCCCGAAATGACAAATATAAAACAATTTAAACGAGAAAACAAACGGCCTGATTTATGTACAAGACAATGAACGAAAAACAAATATGATATACAGCAACAAAGGAAAACCACTGAATTATAGGCTACTGACTTGGGACAGGCACATACAAATAATAAAATTGTTAAAAATATACTCTATGACAGTCTTTTATCAAATTTTAACGATGAATGGTCAGAAAATCTGAAAGAAATGAAAATGGTGGGACTAAGATGAGGACCTAGAGAACTTTTAAAACGGTGATACACACTGAGGAATACATGCAGAAAGTTATAGTTTCATTGCATAGAACGATAGCCTACGCACAGTTTCGTTGTGGTGTTGCATGCACTGATCCTCATAGAGTTGAGTGACTAACCGTGCTACAACGAACTTGTGAAACCTGTAGACACATTTTTGAAACTGAGGAACATGTATTGTTAGAGTGTCCGCAATTGTACAATGATCTGCGAACGGAACTTCGTAGAATAATTTGTCAGACCATCCAAACTTTTTAATTTTTTCTAATCTGGAGAGATTGTCTATTGTTCTAGCCAGTGACTGTGATTGTATTATTTTGAATAGTACAAAATCTGAAAATTAGTTTTAGATATAAGACATTTTATTGAATTTTCTGCTGTTAATTTGTGAAGGGGACGGAATCCGTAAAAATAATTCTGTTAATACTTAACAATTTTGCAAAATTAAAACTACAGAAAAATGTACTAATTAAGGGTCATCATTTTTTTTTTTCATTTTACATATTATGACATTAACAAATATAGAAAATCACTTAAATTTAAAAACCATCCTTAACTTCTGAGATACAATTCATCATTTGCTTTATGACTGAGGGCTTGACAATAAACACCTCTTTACCAAATAGCTAAGCAATTTATTTCCTGCATAATTTCTGTTGAAAAAGAAATTGAAATACGGAAACATATCCGATGTTGATCCTACTGTTAGGAATTTTATTTGTGACGTCATTATCAATGTTAACAAAGAAACGCTATCTGCTTCAGGTAACAGGTTTTCATAAAAAAAAGTAGAATTTAATTTAAAGTATAATAATTTAATCCTTAAATGACAGAAATGCCACATCGGCTTATCATTATTCTTCGTGCATCAGATAAGGTTACAAAAATCTGCCTGGGCAGCTGCAGGTCAGTTTTTCAACTCATTTTGAAAGTCGTATGTTCAGTCGGAAAGCAAGCCCTTAGATGGTACTTTTACTGTAACACAGAAAACACTATCTGAACAGGGTAGAAAGGCTACATTTTGTTTATTGAGTAAGATTTATGATGATTGTTTTAATACTGAGACTTTGATATCCACTGTGTTGATATCCTTATTTGATACATATGTAACAAGTATTGTGAATTATTGTTGTGAAATATGGGGTTTTCATAAGGGATCTGATATAGAAACGCTTCATTTGTATTATTTAAAAAGAATTTTGAAAGTGAGAAAAGGGACTGTAAATCATATGGTGTATTTTGAACTTGGGCGTTTGCCGTTGTATGTAAATAGATATGTAAGAATGGTACGTTATTGGATGAAGTTATTAGAATTTGATAATTGTATCTTGAAGAGTATTTATGAAGATATGTACGAATCTAGTTTTGTTAAACCGAATGATAAACTCAACTGTTGTAAGATAAAAGACATACTAAAGACATACTAAGATAAAAGACATACTAAACAGGTATGGTTTTAATGATATATGGTGAGCGCAAAGTGTTGGAAATAGTCAATTATTTTTACATGAATTTAAACAAAGAGTTGTTGATAATTATATAGCTGAAGGCTTGTCATTTTTTGAAAATACTTCAAAATGTAATTTGTATCAATAAATACATGATGGAAATACTTTACAATTTTATTGAACAGTTTATACCAATCATATGTAACTAAATATAGAATCAATTCACATTCACTCAATGTAGAAACTGGAAGATACTTTAATATTTCCAGAAATGAGCGTATTTGTACTATGTGTGATAAAAAAGTAATCGAAGATGAATATCATTTTATATTAGAGTGTGATAAATATTTAAATGTCAGACGTAAATATATTAAGATATATTATCATAGAAACCCATCTACTTTCAAACTAGTTTAGTTATCTGTAAGAAACATAAAAGAGGTAAATAATCTGGGTATGAGGCAGAAAAAAATCGTAACACTTGATTGTTTATGTACTGTTAATATCTATGTAAATTGTATGCCAAACTCCGCTACATGTTAGAAATTGTTTATGTCATTAATGCTGTATATGTATATGTACACTGTATAAATTGTGTATCTGTTTAATCCTATAAGCTGTATTTGCTTAAGGAATAAAGTATTATTATTATTATAGAAACGACCATTGTTGCAACTTTCTAAAAACAACAATGGGACTGATATTAATGCCTGCCTTTCTGAAGTTGTGTTACTTTCGCAGAAAAATGAACTACTCGTTCGGTATGCCCGTGTGTGTAGTGATGTCATAGATTTTAACGAACTTAATCAATGCATCACTGGTAAATTATTAAGTCAGGGATTTCGTTACCATAAATTACTTAAAACTTTAACTAAATTCTTTCATAGATACAAAGATTTGATTAGTAAATTTGGCTGTACCTGTAGAAAACTTATTAAAAATGGTATTTCACATCCTAAATTTTACGGTAATATTGTACTTAAAGCGCAGAAATCACTATGTGATCCGTGTAAACTCATCGAACCTTTAAACAAACTTATTAGTAAGGGTTATCGTACCAATGTTGTAATTAGATCTCTGAATATAGTTTACATTGGCACTAATATCGATTTTGTCATTAGCAAATTAAAACATAACTAAATTTGTATTTTCTTTTCAAACTGGATGTATAGAGACACACACACGTTCGTTTTTATCTATAAAGAAGTCACTCCTAACTTTCCTACTACCTGTCGATACATTTATTTTTGGCATTGCACAAGTCATGTCTTCTTTGACTGTTCATGACGTTAAAATACTAAATCCCTGGGATGTGTTTTAGTTGATTTTAGTCTCTGATGCATGATTTTTTATTATTAATTGTTTTGGCTTTTAACTAGCTGTCAGTAACTGCGAGTACTCTCAATTCGTACTTTCTTGTTGGTTTGACCTGTTGATACTATTTGTAATGCTTTTTTGTTATTTGATGTTAACATGGATCTTGTCTATATACCAGCTTTGATTATTTGGAATTACTACAAATTTTCACTTCTTCGTACTATGAACATCAAACTTACATGTATTTCATTTCTCCTTAAATACTGTTCTTGCACCTGTACAGGAAGTTTTATCTAGCACTAATTGTATAGTTTTATTGTTGATATTCACCTCATATGTACCAAGTGTTAGATTAGTTTTATTGTTATTAAAGAAATTTCTTGGTATTCCTAGACGGGAGATTTTATACACACAGAACAAGAAGTATACTTAACAACAAAATTATTTTCATTTACCTGTGTATAATTTGACGCAGGTTTTTTTCAAAAGTGATGATTTTCTAAATATTGTTTAACATTTCACAGTGGTATCAATCTTTAACTTTGTTTAAACCTGTTAATTACTTTTGACCATAATTATTTATCCCTTATAATTTTTATTAACTATGTATTTGCATTTAGGTATCACAGATCAAATTTATTCGTTCATTGTGTGTTAATTTGCGTTTTTTGATTGAGTTAAGCCTTCCAATTGATATTTTATAGTATGTCTTTCTATGTTGTGATGTTATACTATTGTTTCAGAAAAGGGAGAAGGTTTGGTACCATTAAAAAGTTTAATCCTGCTGCAAATGTTTGCACCTGTCCTAAGTCAGGAATCTAATGTACAGTAGTTGTCGTCTGTTTATGTACTTCATACGTGTTTCTCGTTTCTCGTTTTATATAGATTAGACCGCTGGTTTTCCCGTTTGAATGGTTTTACACTAGTAATTTTTGGGGCCCTTTATAGCTTGCTGTTCGGTGTGAGCCAAGGCTCCGTGTTGAAGGCCGTACCTTGACCTATAATGGTTTAC